AAAAAAAAAAAAAAAAAAAAAAAAAACAAAAACGTGCAAACACATCTGCGAATAAAGAAACCCAGGAGCGTGGGGGGGGGGGCAGGGGGGGGGGGGACAGATGTCCACGGGCGCCAGCTAGTTAGGGTCGCCAAAATGTGCTTTGATATTATTTTATTGATGAAAATAATGGTTTTGAGAGTTGAAAAAAAAGAAAAAGGTGCGCTTTAAAATGGATCTTATCCCCGGGCGCGAATCTTGTCCCCGGGCGCCAAACACCCTTGCTACGCCTCTGATGACATTATCCAACATGACCTGATATTAAAAAATGTTAACACATTTAAAATATTTAAAAAATTGATATATTATGCTAAAAATGTATGATGATAAAAAAAAATTGATAATCATGCTAAAAATTAATAATGATAAAAAAATGATATATAACGCTAAATTTTGAATAGATAAAATTTTTTTTTATAGATTGTGCTAAAAGTTAATGATAAAAAATTGATAGATTAAGCAAAAACTTGATAGAATAGATAAACAGTTTGAATGAAATTCAAATATAAAATAAGAACATAAAAATACGCCAAGGTAAACTTATCAGCGTTACGCGTTAAGATTTTTGTATACAAAAATTGTAGATTTGTTTTTTTACTTGAACTGATGACTACACTAAACTAAAATAAGTCACATTTTAACCCTTTATTCTCCATCAAAATGTTCTTTTGGGGGTGGGGGGGGGCAAAGGAGCAGAAATAGAGCATTTCTGGTGGGTAATAAAGCAAACATTTATCCTTAAATACCTTCCTATATTCGATCTGTCAATTAGCAACACCAAAACAAAACGTGTCGTCTTCATTCCAGGTTACGGCGACTGCGCCAGATGTTTCTACTGTGGCGGTGGTCTGAGGAACTGGGAGGACGAAGATGACGTGTGGGTGGAGCACGCGAGATGGTTTCCTAAATGTGCCTACATCCGTCAGCAGATGGGACAAGTTTTCGTGGACACCGTTCAGGAACTGAACAAAACTTTTGATCTTGTAAGTACTTTAAAAAAAAAAAAATATTGGTTACCTTGAACATCTAAGACAGTGGTCGCCAAATCGCAGCTAGCGAGCCGCTTGCGGCTCTTAAGCGACCTGAGTGCGGCTCGGAAGGTCGGACACGAATCGGTTTTGACTCTGAAAAAACTTGGTTCTTGACAGGTTTTTGAAAAGAAATTTGGCTCTCTGAATTTTTGTAATCGTCATACTGCTGTTTTTTTTGGCTCTTTTGACTGACGAGTTAGCCGACCACTGGTCTGAGATATCGCCTTTACTTTGGTTTATCGGCATCGGAAGCAGTAGAAAGTAATTCTAAAACGTATACAGCTAATTTTCTTTCCACCACCAAACTCACAGTTTATATTTTTCTTTTCAACTATTGAATAATGTTACTCGCGTAGAGAGTTCATTTTTGACTATGATTTATGAATCATGCAATATAAAGATGCATCCAAATGCTTTATAAATATAAAGGCAAGCGTGTAATTTCATCCATCTCAAGTATAGAGGTAGCACGTGACCTGCTTTAATAGTTAATTGGTTTGGTCAATGCCATCTGATAAGCGACTCATTCAGTACAAACAATTGTCAAGTTGTGTACTCATAGATGTGAGACAATTGCCAAGTTGTGTACTCATAGATATGAGACAATTGCCAAGTTGTGTACTCATAGATGTGAGACAATTGCCAAGTTGTGTACTCATAGATGTGAGACAATTGCCAAGTTGTGTACTCATAGATGTGAGACATCCTGGAGTAATATGGCTTTTTATTTTTTACTTGTTACTGTTCTGTAATGAATATAACTATTAAAAATACTCTTAACAATATATATTTTCTCAGATTCCATTTTCAATGGTAATGGAACACTGTAAGACATCTGGAGCGGCATCTTTATTAGGTAATATCTTTTAGTAATCTACCATGTATTTTATTTATTTATCTATTTATTCATTTTTATTGCACTCGTGATGTCTTATTGATAAAATTCTCATTAAAAAATAACTCAATGACAGCTTTGCACTATGGTTTTATTTCATTGACAGCTTTACACTTTACAGTTAAACTCAGTGACAGCTTTACGCTTTATGGTTTAACTCAGTGACAGCTTTACACTTTATGGTTCAACTCAGTGACAGCTTTACACTTTATGGTTTAACTCAGTGACATCTTTACGCTTTATGGTTTAACTCAGTGACAGCTTTACACTTTATGGTTTAACTCAGTGACAGCTTTACGCTTTATGGTTTAACTCAGTGACAACTTTACACTTTATGGTTTAATTCAATGACAGCTTTACACTGTATGGATTAACTCTATGACAGCTTTACACTTTAAGGCTTATCTTTCCGAAAAGTTTGTCGTATTGTGCTAACTTCTATTTGATAATGTCTCTACATCTCCAGCCGATAAAACCGAACCACTTAAGAGAGACCCGGCTGTGAGGACAGTTGTGGAGTTCGGCTATTCCCTCGAAGACGTCCTAGAAGTGGCTAAAGTTATCAAAGGCAAAGGTAACTTGCCTATTTATTTTTTTGTCCTTAAATTTAACATTTCTGTGTGTGTTCTGAAATCCCACCTTTGCCAAGGAAGTTGGACTTTAACACCACGTTGTAACTCCCATTAACGTCAGAGGGGTCGTTTTGTGCAAAAGAATTAATTTGGACGCAGGGGTTCGAACTTCTTGGAACTGTCCGACAGGTCCCACAGTTAAAACATAATTTATTCATTTTTTTTTTCTAATAGAGAAATTATGTTTTAACTGTAGGATGCATAATTTTCTATTAGAAATGTTTTTAAAAAAATATTTCGTTTTTAAATGGGATAAATTAAAAAGTTGGATTGCTTTTTAAATAATGGAATTTGAACACAATGTGAGGGAGTACAACTACAACAAATTCCTTGGTCATCGTTGAATCACAATGATAGGCTCGCTACGTGACGTAGCCACTCATGAAAATGAGAGTGAGATACTTCACATCTGGCTTGTTGGCCTAGAACAGTGGTACTCAACCTGTGGGTCGCCAGCTTTTTGGGCGGCCGAACGACCCTTACACAGGGGTTGCCTAAACAATCGGAAAACATACATTTATTAAGTGGCAACGAAAAAAGTTTGTGTTTGGGTGGTCACCGCAACACGAGGAACTGTATTAAAGGGTCGCGGGATTAGGAAGGTTGAGAACCACTTGCCTAGAATGAGACAATAGACTGATATTTATGAGGGAGAAAACAAAAATGGCTTTATTTATAATTTACTTGCAAAAATGCCTCTCCTTAGTTTAACAATGTATACAATGAAGGTATCTTTTAAAAAAAAAAGTCATTTCTTCATTACTATCAATAAGAACTAGATCTGGATGATAGGCTTAAAACAAGTCTCGTAAAGCAATCCCACAAATAATTAACAAGTCTCGTAAAGCAATCCCACAAATAATTAACAAGTCTCGTAAAGCAATCCCACAAATAATTAACAAGTCTCGTAAAGCAATCCCACAAATAATTAACAAGTCTCGTAAAGCAATCCCACAAATAATTAACAAGTCTCGTAAAGCAATCCCACAAATAATTAACAAGTCTCGTAAAGCAATCCCACAAATAATTAACAAGTCTCGTAAAGCAATCCCACAAATAATTAACAAGTCTCGTAAAGCAATCCCACAAATAATTAACAAGTCTCGTAAAGCAATCCCACAAATAATTAACAAGTCTCGTAAAGCAATCCCACAAATAATTAACAAGTCTCGTAAAGCAATCCCACAAATAATTAACAAGTCTCGTAAAGCAATCCCACAAATAATTAACAAGTCTCGTAAAGCAATCCCACAAATAATTAACAAGTCTCGTAAAGCAATCCCACAAATAATTAACAAGTCTCGTAAAGCAATCCCACAAATAATTAACAAGTCTCGTAAAGCAATCCCACAAATAATTAACAAGTCTCGTAAAGCAATCCCACAAATAATTAACAAGTCTCGTANTTTTTTTTTTTTTTTTTTTTTTTTTTTTTTTTTTTTTTTTTTTTTTTTTTTTTTTTTAGTTTTTTTTTTTTTTTTTTTTTTTTTGCATTACCGGCATTGACTAGTTTTTTTCAGCCTCATTAATTTAGAATTTTGTTACAAAGAATTTTCAAAAGAAATTTTGCTAGAAAGAAGCTTTTTATTAAAAAATACAATGGTTAATGTTTAGTTACTTTAATCTTTTATCTAGAGGTCATTCTATCATCTGACGTCTTGCTGACGAAGTTACGAGAATTGAGGAAACCAAGGCATGTCAAAACGTCATCGGAAACCATGGATGTGGAGAATACAGCATCAACCAGCGAGGAGGATGAAGGTACAAAACAGTTATCTGTGTTTAAAATAGCAGGGGTGGGAGAGAGGTGGTAGGCGAGCTTAAGAGAGAGAGAGAGAGAGAGAGAGAGGGAGAGATAAGAGGGAGAGAGAGAGAGAGAGGGAGAGATAAGAGAGGGAGAGAGAGAGAGAGAGAGAGAGAAGAAATCATTTGAAAAAATGCAGCTTATAATTAATTCTTATATCACTAAAGTTTCATATTAATCAAGATGTTAGCAACCAGACCAGGCCGAGGGAAGAAAATGAATGGGCGTTGAAAGGGGGCAGGTGAGGCGTTAAAGGGAAGGGACCCCCCCCCCCCCGTGCCATCCCAAGAGAACGCCAAAACCAAAATTATCAGTTTTAATGGAAAATACTATATTTCACTATATAACTTATTTATTTGAAAAAATGCAGCTTATAATTAATTCTTATATCAATAAAGTTTCATATTAAACAAGAGGTTAGCAAACAGACCAGGCCGAGGGAAGAAAATGAATGGGGGTTGAAAGGGGGCAGGTGAGGCGTTAAAGGGAAGGGACCCCCCCCCCCGTGCCATCTCAAGAGAACGCCAAAATCAAAATTATCAGTTTTAATGGAAAATACTATATTTCACTATATAACTTATTTAATTAATGTGTGTGTGTGTGTGTGTGTGTGTGAGGGGGGTGGTGGTGGTGTTGCCTTCATTAATGTTCTGTCCCTTGCTCGGTGTTTGTTCTGTCCAAGCCATGAAAAAAAAAAAACACTATTTTTTTCTTGTCATCAAGACAGATAAATTAAGATGAGTGATCGAAGTTTATGTATGAACCAATATCATAACAATACGTTATGCACTTTATATAGAGATAAAAACTTCACCAGACAAATATATATGTATATTTTCCAACCCCAACAGAGGCCATCAGACGGATGAAAGAGATGAACAACCAGCTCCGCCAGCAGACCGTGTGCAAGATTTGTATGGACAAGGAGGTGGCCGTCGTGTTCCTGCCCTGTGGTCATCTTGTGTCTTGCGCAGAGTGTGCTTCGGCCATGAAGGACTGTCCTGTCTGCAGGGTCACGGTCAAAGGCGTGGTCCGAGCAATTTTATAATTTTGAAGATACATTTGATTGATAAGCAAAACTAATATTACGGGACTAAGACTGCGACATTGGGAAATCGGAGAAATAAAAAGCATTTGAAATATGTTGTAATATGCTGAAAATGTTGAAATATGTTGAAAATGTTGAAATATGTTGAAATATGTTGAAATATGTTGAAATATGTTGAAATATGTTGAAATATGTTGAAATATGTTGAAATATGTTGAAATTTGTTGAAATATGTTGAAAATGTTGTAATATGTTGAAATATGTTGAAATATGTTGAAATATGTTGAAATATGTTGAAATATGTTGAAATATGTTGAACTATGTTGAAATTAGTTGAAAATGTTGAAATATGTTGAAATATGTTGAAATTTGTTGAAAATGTTGAAATATGTTGAAATATGTTGAAACCTTTACGTGTTGTGACTTTTGTTGTAACTGTTTATTATAATTGTCAGCCATTATGACAAAAAGTTATAATTATTATTAAATTAATTGCCAAACATTATAACAAATTGTTAATGTGATTTATTAAAATAGTCAAAGTTTATGAGACGTTGTTTAAGTTATTATAAAATTTGCCTCACTCTATGCAAAACAGAAAAAAGCGAAAAAAAAAAGAAAGAACTACTGTAATGGATCAAACCATGTGTCTCCTCGAATAAAATCATACGCTTGTTGAATTGCTCATCTTAGTGTTATTTATGTTAGTGTGATGTGAAAACATGTGTAATTTTATCGGGTGAGTTTACACGGATGACGTCGATCACTTTACAGCAGTGCCGGATTGACTAGACTTTATTGTCCTTATCCGATTGCAACTTTTTTTTTTTTTGCAAGATGATGAACCATATTTAAGTAAGTTATATTGTTCACGGTCAACAAATAAGCAGACAGAAACAAAACCACAAAGGCACAATCACAAACCAATTGAATTTCCTTAATACCAAACAAAAACTTGAATGGCAGCCATCCATAAATGATTTCATTTATCTAGGGCAGTGCGTCTCAACTTGTGAGTTGCGACCCCTTTGGGGATCGGACGACCTTTACACAATCATCGCCTAAGACCATCGGAAAACACAAATTTATGAAGTAGCAATGAAAATAATTTTATGGTAGGGGGGTCACCATAATATGAGGAGCTGTATTAAAGGGTCACGGCATTAGGAAGGTTAAGAACCACTGATCTTGGGGGTAGTAGTCACTAAATTTAAAGATAAGGGTGTGCAAATTCGGCAACAATTTTTTCCACAAGGGGGTGGAAGGTGGATAAAAAAAAATGGCCCCTTAGATTTTTTTTGTTATATGTGTGTATATACACACATAGACAATCTCTCTGCTTGTCGTAATTAAAATATACTGGACTCCAACATTGCAGTTCTCTTCAGTTCTAAATTTTGGACTTCAACTATGACGTCAAAATAATCAGCCGAGCTCACAGAACAGAAAGCTAATGGTAACGTGAGATGAGTTAAATTAATTAATCAAATGTACTTCACATTAATGTAATTCTGTCATTGCATTAAATACTCTCGGATATTCTCGATTTTGGACCTTGATATTTCTCACTCGCTCATTACAATCTGGCTGGTTGTTCAATGAGACCATAGCTGTTAGAACATGTTATAAATCTCTGTATAACAATTGGTTGTCTATTTTTATACCCATTATTAGATCAAAGTTTATTATGGTTTTGATGTCAGGCTAAAAAAAATGAGTTCTTGTGTGTACTACATTATTATAAAAATGTCAACATTCTACAAAAATATAGAAGCAAAAAAAATAAAATATGTATTGAGACCTTAGTTAAGATCTTTATAATACTAGCCAGGAGCGGAAACTCAACAGCTTCCATCAAAGATGTCTGCGTCGCATTTTACGCATTCGTTGGCAGGACAAGATGCCTTGGAACGTGCACACATGTTTAGCATATTCTACCTTCGTAGCAAGAGGCGCCTTCGCTGGTTAGGCCATGTAAGGAGAATGGAGGAAGGACGTAACCCAAAGATTCTGCTGTATGGAGGGTTGACAGAAGGGACAAGACTTATTGGAAGGCCACGCCTCAGATTTATGGACGTTTGCAAAAGGAGCATGAGGGAAGCCAATATTGAGAACAACGAATGGGAGCTCATTGCCGAACAACGTTCCATCTGGCGAACAGCAGTGTATGAAGGTGAAAACCAGGCAGAGGATACGAGCAACGAGGCCCTTGCGACAAAAAGAACAATACGGAAGTCAAGATATTACCACGAATCAACATTCCCTTGCGAGAGATGCAGTCGAGATTGTCATTATGGCCTAATGAGCCACTCGTCGAAGTGTAGGGCTACATAGCTACTCCATCGTCTAACGAAGACGGAATGATGCAATATAGTTATCGATGGTGTTAACTTTGACAACACATACACATTTCAAGCAATTTGATTAATTATCGATCCGTCTCTGCAGCGGTACAGCACGTGACGGGATTTTGCCTGACTCACCACTTCCTTCCACTCAGACTAACTGATGCTTTTCTTTTTCTAAGTTTCAGGATTCCAAGTTCCTGGCAGCTGTAGATCTCTTTTCCCACCATTTTTTATCCATCTAAGCCTGTGTCTGACTTTGAGCTGTTTACTTCTAATGTTTTGGTGATGCACCCTTTTCCCTCCTCCTCTGTCATTTAGCAATCTTTCTAAGCGTCCCGCCCAACGCAGCCTGCCCTTTTATTTCTTCTACTAGCATGGGATCCTGGTATAGTCCAAACGCTGCCTGGTTGATCCGTAATCTAACCTTTTACTTTCTATTTTAACTTTTCAGTATTTTGTGACGTCTGAAAGTTGCTCTATTTCCCGCCGAAGTTCTTTCGTTTATTTCAATTACGAAACTATTTCTTTCATTTTGTTGAATGCTGTTGTATTTAAATACTGTAAGTGTAACACTATTCATTGTTTACCGTACATATTATTCAAGAAAACCTTTGCATTTCGACCGTCTTGAATATTATGATAGTGATTGTGGGTAAGATTTTGGAAAAAAAAAAGATAAGAATTGAGTAAAATTTAAAAAAAATATGACTGGGAAACATGATTTTTATGAATATGATTAATTAAGTGTAGTTCTACATCAACTCTTACTGTCTTACTTCTTAGACATAAAAAATAAATAAATGAAAATTGGCCTCTCCACCAACTCTAAGTACCTGGTATCTATTTGATGCCCATCGCTTCCTAGACTCAATCATTCAGGCATTCCTCAACACCACATAGACAAACTTCAGAAGGCACAGAACTCAGCATGCAGACTCATTTTTAAATCAAAGAAACACGACCACATTCAACCACTTATGCAGCAACTCCACTGGCTTCCAATATCCTCTCGATAGTACAAGTCTGCCAAACTTTGCTTCAACTCGTTCACTGACCCTCAGTTTCCTGTCTATCTCTCTGAACTGTTGCTTCCTTACATCCCCACAAGACAACTACGCTCTTCAACTGACAATAGAACCCTCTCAATCCCAAGAACCAAAACTAAGACCATCAGTGAACGCTCCTTCTACTTCCATGGGCCCACGTTCTGGAACCTGCTCCCCTTCCACATCCGTGATTATGAAACCTCGTCCAATTTCAAAAAGTCCCTTAAAACCCACCTGTTTAGGTCCGCCTATGACCTGTGATGCACCCTCCTTGCCCTGCCTCATTTTCTGTCTTGGGTTGATCCTGTATTTAAGTATATGCCAAAACGGGCCAAGTGTACTTGTTTTATAGCCCTTTTAATGTTTTAGCTACTGTTTCTATGGTCATTTTTCACATTGTAGTTACTATTCTAGTGTCTCTGGTTTTTCATTTTTATTTTACTTTAGCAGTTTAAATAGTTTACATATGTTTAATAATTGTAAAGCGCCTAGAGCTGTAAGGTAAGCGCTATACAAAAATGCCTAAATAAATAAATACATAAATCAGGCAATAATTGTTTCTTTTTTTTCTGCAACATTCTTTCTAAGCTGCCTTTTAAAATTCCGGTACCGGATACTGCTTTCAATGGCTTTCTGGGTCGTTGATATACACATATATTGTCACATTTTATTCCCCACCTGCTGGAAATCCAAGCATGGGAAAGACAAGCATCAGGTCTGAGTGGAAGGACGTGGTAAGGCAAGCCTAAGCCTTGTCTATGGATTCAAGTGAGAGGAGCTTATCAAAACTGAAAAATATAAAGTACTTATAGTAATTACCGATCGACCATGCAACAACCGGAATTAATAAATGATACGTATGGCCGGGGGGGGGGGTTGGGTGGGGGCAACGGAGTCAGGGCTTGCCCTGGTCTCCAAATACTTTTCTTAACATTACTTGAATGGGCTTTGAATGCAGCACTTTTCCCAGGACCCCCAAGTTCCCCAACCCCCGTGGATGGTACGGGCCTATAAATTATCGAAGTGGCTATTCGTACCCGGGTACCAGAAGTGAGAGACTGGGGATTACAAAACTATTTACAATTTAATTGTTGGGTTTGTAAGACAAAACGAGGTATCAAATGAAAGATAATTGAATTGACTAAATGTTTTTAAACTTAATTCTTCAGTTTAACTAAAATAAGCTACCACGAATGACATCCAAATAGCACTGACTCAAAATGGACCCCGGACACGCAGCGCCGCGTTTCGCACCCGAGTACCATTAGACTCAAGCTTTAACTTTAACTGAATTTTTAATTTAAATTCAACGACATCCACCTCAAGGTTCGACGTGGCAAACGTACAAACCGGCCGTACAAAATAACTGAAGAGGTGAAACATAGTGTGAGAGAGCACATCAGTTCTCTTCAAGGGCGAAACAGCCGCTACTCAATGGGAAAAACTAAGAAACTATATATACCAGAGAAACCGAATGTTGCAAAAATGCATCAAATGTTTAAAGGGATGCACACAGATGTAAAAGTGTAAAAGTAAGATAGAATTAAATCTAGTAACTATATTTTACTCTTAATTTAGGGATTTGCAACATGCTGTCTGCTGAAAT